AGACTAAAGTATAAAGCAGTGAAGATCATCAATAGGCAATCGTTCGATGGGCTGAATTGCACAAATCACATGATCGCGCCGGCTAGTCTGGTGCGCGTTGCTGTTTATTTGTTTTTGCACGCTTTTTGTGGCACCAAACAGTTTTTGGATCAAATCAGTTCGTTTATCTTCCAAAATTTAGGATTTTCGATTTCTGTGAATGCTGTTGTAGTCTTCCTCAGTTTTTTTTCAGAGAACTTTTAAGAGACCGTTGATGGCTTTGTCAGCATACTTTTTTATTGGTAAGTGTTGCCACTTGGGCTACGTCCTGGTGCCTCTGCTCATAGACGGATCCAGGATGGACTCCCGAGGGAGGGACGTGGGGAGACGGCGGGTAGGGAGGAGGGGGAAGTAGGGCTCCTTGGAGGCCGACGAGAGGAAGGGTGGGGTAGAGTCCTCTCCCACCCTGGAACTATGCAAAAACTAGGAATAGAGTTGTAACACTGCTACTTTGGGATACTTTAGGCTTTAGTTTACTTTAGTTTTAGCTTTAGACCCGGGCTTTTGCAGCACTGGTACCTGTGCCGTTGGCGAGTTGGAGAGAGGAAGGGGGAGGGGGGAGGCGAAAGATTCGTCGTCCCCTCCTCCGAGTATCCTTCTATGCCTTTCCAGAGGGAATAACTCATGAAAGGTTTTACTTTTCCCAGCACTATTTTGTTTTAAGTCTAATTTGGTAAAAAGTAGGTCCCTTCAGTGAGATGCTTACAACAGTTTAGATCCCGGATTTTACGTTTTCGTGAATTCTGTAGGTTTCTGTGGAAGTATACGCTCGTGCAGTACGCCATTCTCCATGCACAGCACTTTGGCAGCAATATTTTACGGCACTGGAACGCTCGAATGCCACTGCAAATGAGATTGATTCGAAATGGCCAGAAGCTCGTAGTACAATAACAACACCGGACGAGGGCTTATCACTTTACCGCACATACATATATTTACTTCGGCGACGTGTAGCGAAAGAAGGTACGTTCAAGACCCTCAGCAAAGCCCCTGTCCAGAACTATTTCCGCCCAATTTTCGCTTTTATAATATTTGGTTAGCTTTTTTTGTGACCTGAGAGACAGTAGTTTGTAGTAGTTGCGGCAAGTAGTACAATAATTGGCCGACGCATCAATTACTGGTGCGAAGATACGTTTTTTGCACAGTTCCTCATAGAGTTTTTATCACTAACGGCACCAGTTTTTCCAGCAGATGCATCTAGCTAAAAGAATTTCAGACTGGCCACCACGGCTTTCAGAAAACATCTCCTTAAAATTTCAACTTTCAAGCATTTCTGGTTTCCGAGCTAGCAACTTACACGTTAAAAATTTTCACGGGTCCGCAGTTGGGAACCACGCACAAATAGAGGCTGGATTTAAAGTTATTTGATTGTAGATGGACAGGGAGCATCTCTTTAAAATTCCAGCTTTCAAGCTTTTCGGTTCCCGAATTAGCAGCTTAGCCGCCAAAAACTTCTTTGGGCTTGTACGTGGGAACCACTTGGGCAAGATTTTCCATTTTGGGAG